CTCTGTCCCCAAGCAGCAGTCTTTGTAATCCTTATCGAAACTTACCTCAGTTCCTGAGGGTGTCTCAAAGTCTTCCCAGTCACTCAGTGAGCCACTTAAAAGGAGGATTCTGCTTTCATTTGCTTAAAGATGGGAAACACCCGAGATGTCTCTGAGTGCAGGAGCAGGCAAATATTCCTGCACAAGGGCAAATGTTGTATCTCGTCTGCAGGACTGAGCATCCAGGGTAGTTGGTGCCAAAACCCTTGGGTAACAACAACTGAGAAGATTTTTGGATAGCCAGTGATCCAAGGGAACTATCTGGCTAGTATAGTGGTTTCTAAAATTACTATATTCCCTCTCACATTTACAAAAGACCTTATAACATATGACCTTACAATATATTTTTTCTGTTTTCTCTCATTTGACCATTACAACAATCCCTTATAAAGACTGGGCTATTTGATTTTACAGACCACAAAACTGAAGTCCAGAGAGCAGAATAATTTACAGAGGGTTGTGATGGATTTTCATGGAGGATCCAAGTATTTAATAACTTTCTGGCCGGGTTGGGGGTCTATATTCACCTGATCTCTGCAATACAATTCTCAGCAGGGTCACTACAGAAATGGATTTTTTTTTTGCATGTGCCAGCTGAAATATAAGATCAGAACCATGGAACATTGATGCACATGAGTGCAAAATTTCCACACATGGAAATTTTTGCCCATCACCTGCAATTTGACAGCAAGAACATATTTATATGTTAGTATTTACCTAATATTTGTGTGTGTGTGTGTGTGTGTGTGTGTGAGAGAGAGAGAGAGAGAGAGAGAGAGAGAGAGAGAGAGAGAATTCAAACTTTCCAATGATTCATTTGGTGATCTGGATAAAATACCTCTAAGACAGTCAGCCTCCTAATACCTATCTGTCACCATCCTTCCTTTGTGTGTTCTGTCTTTTTTGATTGCTGTTATAGAGAATAGTCAGACTGGATTGTGCTCGTGAATATTCAAATTACCCAAAACCCACAAATTCCTGTTGTAAAAATAAAATGATGCCTTGTTTGTGTATCAGTCTTTTGGTATATGAGTCAGTCCTTGAAAACTTAATGTCTTCTTAGAATCCTGAGAAAAAAATTTCTGGTTGCCCAGTGCTGAAGATTTGCCTGCACTATGGTGATCCCAGAGCATACTGCCTTTGGAAGCCTTGTTTTGGAGGGTGGTTGGAATTGCAGCATCTCCATCGTCTGTTTTCTGACTGCTACATGATTATATGTCTCTTTACCTAGGTAGAAGCTACTTCTGATGTTATACATCTGTAATTGCAGATCTAAGTTGCAGAGTACCAAAAGACAAGTAACAGAAATTATGTCCCAGGAAGTAGATGTGGGCTATTCAAATTAGACTATCAATCAAGGTACTTAATGATCAGTGTGTTTAGAGAATCAGAGCTGGAAATTTTTGTTCTATCATATAAGCCAGAAGAGACAAAAATGAATTTACAAGTACTTGAACATACTCTATTTGATTGCAAGGGCATTTCTAGTTAGAACAGGTTATGCTTATGCTGTGCTAACAATTCCCAAACTTCAGTGGCTTGACATAGAAAAATTTATCTTTGCTCTCACAGAGTCTACTTGAGTCAGTGAGAAATGTGGATGAAGGGAGGGTTCTGCTCCACTTATTCACTCAGGGACTCAGGCTGTTGAAAATGCCACCACCCAGAATGTCACCAACTGCTGCAACAAGTGAAAAGAGAAACTGGAGAATCACGTAGGGGCTTTTAAAACATAATTTCTGCTAACATTTTATTAGCTACAATATTAGTCACATAGTCCACCTATTTCAAGGGGGTTGGGAATATAGTCTTCTGTGTGTCCATTACAGGCATGCCAAAGAATGCAGGTGACCGAGGGGACACCTTAGATGTGACTGGTGGAGGAGTGAGGGAAGAGCAGCAGCTTGAGAAAGAGGAAAGGCAGTACGCCTTACTTTCTGATGAGTTGCCTAGTTCTCTGTCTGAGTTGTACCCAAGTTCCACCTGATTAACATTCTGTTAAGAAAAGCCAGAGAGCTACAGCTTGAGGGCCATTTATATATAATTATTTCATAAACACGGAGTAGGTTTTTTCCTATGATTCTGTCTCTTCCACTCTAAAAGCCCAATTCCTAAAAGCATCCTGCAGGAGGAGAGGTAGGGGTATAATATACCGAGACTCCTTCCCTTTGGTGTTAAATCTCTTGAGTTTAGGGACATCACTTAACCACTAGTTAGGTAATAAAAATAATATAAACCAAATAACTTTAATTGTACCAGTCTCCAGATGTAACTGACACCATACTTCCTCCCTTATGCCCATATGCCTCATTAGGAAACCAGAGGATGAAGGGTTGGGAGAGGAGGTGGAACAGCGCTGATGTGGCCTGAGGGGTTCCAAAGGTGACAAGCTTTCAGTAAACCACTAGAAGGTTGGATTGAACTGGACTCATTTGAAGAGGTTAATACAGAATGAACAGAGAGGAAATTGTGTGTGTGGCGGTGGAGTGAGAATTCTTTATGCTTTTATATTTTGGAGTGAGAAAAAAATCACTAGTGGCATTTGTGATACATGTGGATTAAAACACACTTTTTTTCCCATGAAGCAAACCTAACAAAATCTTGGCCAACTTGGTAGGGGACTCTGGAGTGAGAATCACCCATCAGCGTTGTTCCCATCAGGCCAAACTGGCCAAACCCTCAGTCACTGCGTGTGGGCTGCATGAGGAAGGGAATGGCCCCGTGCAAGCACTCCTTGCAGATAAGCATCAACTTGTTCCTTGAAGGGGGTCTAGGCAGCATATCTCCGTGTCCACCACAGGCTGTGTGCCCATAGCACTCTCCTTGTTTTGATTTTTACTTTGAGAGGAACTCTAGAGATCTAGCCAGACTGTGAATGTCTGAAAACTCCAGGAAATATATCTGGCTTGAATGGAAAGCCTGAAATGTAATCAGCTTAGTTGTGACCCATTTCTCCCTCACTGGTTAGCTACTAAGAGGATTTTCTTTTCTGAGGCCTTTTGTAGGGAATAATGTGTATCATGAGTCTTAGGGAATGCATGGAATTTCAGTATTCACCAGGAAGTACCCCAAGTAATAGGAAAATAGACTTTGCTCTTCTTCGAGAGTTTGTTGATATGGGAGATGAATTAAAATTTATTGGACACCTACTGTATGTTAGGTACTTTATTTTACATAATCTCAAAATTGTCAAGAAGCACTGTTAAGTGTTTGTTAATTTCCTCAGTTTGCAGAGGAGAGATTAATGCTCAGAGAGGTTGAATGATTTTCCAAAGATGTCAAGACAAGGAAGCATAGGCTAGAGAGAAGACCTCATGGATCAATTCTATAAGAGTTTTTCTCACTATTGCATTTCTTGTACCTAATAAGTGTGTGGCTTAGAACAGAGGACCAATAGATATTTTTTGACTGAATAATGTGTGGCAGCACAAGTATCCAAAAATTACATATATGTAACTTTAAAATATCGGTCTTTTTTTTATAATGAAAGAAATACAGCATTCAGGAAAAGTCATGAGATCCAAGATAAAATAAAAAACATGTTTTAGTTGAATCAGAAAATACAGTCTTGTGGTTTACTGTTGTGGACTGCTCTGGCTAGTTTCAGGAACTGTAAACCCTCTCCCATGTCTAAGGCTGTGAGGGACCTCCGGAATGCGAGCAACAGGAGAAAAAGTTTGTCTCTGATAGCAAAGGCTGCCTCAGTTTCCTGTCCCTGCTCCCAAAGCATGGTCAAAGGTCCAAGACCAGTAAGTCTTCTCACAGCAGGGATCAACCTAAGCCAGACTTGACCACTTGGGAGGCCATCATGGAAGGACTCAGGGGGCTGCAACAAAGAGCGAGCAATAGACCCATGGCCCCCAGCTATGTGACATAGCCTGAGTTCCCATGTCCTCTGGTAGAAGCGCTTCCTGTCTCTAATCCCCTTAAGCCTGAATACCTGATGGGGAGGGGTGCAGCTCCTTGCCTTGCCAGAGCATGTTCAGGAAAAAATCTGGCATCACAAACAATTCCTGAAAAACCTGTGAAATATGCTCTGCTAAGAGTGCTTTCATTCATATGTTAAGGGTTCGAGCAAGAAACCCTAAAGTTTCTGCAAAACTCTCTTCCTGACAGACTCTGACTCAGACTAGGCCCTCAGATTTCTTTGAAATGTTATCTACTGTTTGATCCTTGCCACCCTGTATTCCTGTGTATTACAACCCAATAAAAGCCCTTGGAAGAAGAGGCTCAATGCCTTTTCCCCCTGAGAAACTGGCTACTGCTCAAGGCCCTTTTATTTTGAGGGATCGGCCACCTCTCCTCCCCAAGCAGATCATGTCATGTCTTATTTACTTTCATCCATGGTGGATGAAGGGACTTGCCAGAAAAGTCGCCCCCACAATTTACCTTTTGCACCATAATGGTTCTCTGAGTCTGGTCTTCTAAGTGGCAGATGCAGCTGCTTCAAAGCAATAGAGCTATAACTCCATCACATAAAACTCCACCACACAAGGTGTTGAGAAGAGATCCATATAGAGGCATGGTCACAGAATTACTTGTCACCCATCATCTGCATTCACTTTTACAGTACGGTTGGAAATTCTAGGTTCCAGGATCCAGGTTTGATTAATGAAATATTAAATGAATTTTGCCAAATTATGTTAACCATGGTGCTCAGAATAGCACTGCCTTCTGGTGTCTCAGATATTTTAGTGAGAAACTGAGGGAAGGCAGTATCAGGACAGAATTTGACATCTGCTTTAGAGTTTGCTTTCTGAAGTCAAGAACCAGACAAAGGGTGAGTTTTCTGACCTTAGTCAAGAGATGTAGCTCCCTCACTATGGGTTCTCACTAAGCCTGTGATCTGGGCCACAATAGACTTCAGAGTGTCCAGGGGCTTTTCCACTGCTGTGCTGACCTACATCGCCATGGATTACCAATAATAGGATTTACCACTTAGAAGCCAAGGCTATCTTACTCAAAATTCTCAAATTATTTTCTTACAGAGGAACATGGCTTCAGTTTCCCACTATTTCCTGCTAGTTCTGGCCTTTTTGGATTTACATGCATTTCAGCTACCCTGTCCACCAGGATGTACCTGCTCAGAGGAGAATTTTGGCAGGTGCGTTGTGCTAGGATGATGCCACAGAGCTGTAGGAGATGGGCTTTCTTTGTGGAGTTTTTGGAGTGGGAGTATGCCTAGAATTTGCAGGGAATTAGAAAAAACTCTATGACATTCATTCTAGTTGGTACTGAACTTTGGTGAACTGTGAGCTTTTACCAAGATAGGTCTAAATGTTTTATTTTGAGTAAGTAATGTTTTTTCTAATTCATAGTCTAATGCCAGGATGAGCTCTTACCACCTACCAGTTTTCTGATGTTCATCTTAAAGCTTTTCTGTTTCTTGTATAGGACTCTGCAGTGCATGTCTATCTCTTTGAGAAAGATCCCAGGGAAACTTCCTGAAGAATTCAAGCAAGTAAGAATTGAACGTTCATCCTTATTTGAGCTGCCCAGAGGATCTTTTGTTAACATGAGCACAGTGGAATACCTTTGGCTCAATTTTAATGATGTCACTGTGATCCACCTAGGAGCCCTGGAGCACTTGTCAGAACTGAAAGAGCTGAGACTGGAAGGGAACAAACTTCGTTCAGTACCCTGGACAGCATTCCGTGCCACCCCTCTCCTGAGAGTCTTGGATCTCAAACACAACAGGATTGATGTACTCCCTGAGCTGGCTCTTCAGTTCTTGGTCAATCTGACCTACCTTGATCTGTCTTCCAATAGGCTTACAGTTGTATCCAAGAGTGTCTTCATGAACTGGCCAGCCTACCAGAAACACCAGCAGCCTGACTGTGGGGCCAAGATTCTCTCTAGCATGGTGCTGGCATTGCACAATAACCCTTGGCTATGTGACTGTCGCCTAAGGGGACTCTTCCAGTTTGTAAAATCCACCAGCCTCCCAGTCATCCTGGTGAATCCCTATCTGATGTGCCAAGGTCCTCTCTCCAAGGCAGGGCAGTTTTTTCATGAAACTGAGCTCAGTGCTTGCGTGAAGCCCCAGATCTCAACCCCCAGTGCCAATGTCACCATCCAGGTGGGACAGAATGTAACCCTGAAATGCTTGGCACAGGCCAGCCCTTCACCAACCATTATATGGATGTATCCCCTGAGCATGTGGAGGGAATTTGATGGTAAGCCACATGCACTCTCTTACTATGTCTGGGAGAATGGGGAAATCTATAGTGACCTTATCCTCAATAGAGAGGTACAAAAATGGGTGTAGGTAAAATTGGGATGGGCCTGAATTATACATATCACAACAAGGTAGTATTACACTATTGGCATTCTTTTGAATGATTACATATGTATTTATATAAGATATATATAATATAGATTTATAAACATATATAAATATATAGATATATATGTTTCATATATAAATATATATGTTTATGGATTTACATGCAACTCAGCCATCCTGTCTGCCAGGATGTATCAGTATGTATATTTATATATAAATCATATATATCTTATATAGACATATGTAAATATATATCTTGGAGTTGACTTAACATTGTATAAGTATTACAGAATTCTATGAACAAATATAATTTGGGGGACTTTCTAGATGCAAAATACTATACTGTGTATTTTTAAATCATAGTAATTTCTGACTAGAATCAATTCTAGAGATTATCCATTACATATTTTCTAAATTTGCCTGAACAGACTCACCTGGGCTGTTTGTTTGAAATAATATTTCCAAATTTCCTCTGCCCTAGAAATCTGAGTTAAGTGAATCCAGGGGAGGACCTGAGAATATATATTTTAACAAGAGTTTTCTCCTCCCCTACTCTTCACCCCCACACCCTAGCTAATTCTTAACATCAGGCAAGGATGGGAAGTCCTAGATATTGACTGAATTTTATACTTTTTACCACTTTGTTGACCAGACCTTACTGATTTGAAGTTGTAATACTAGGATCCAGAGAGAGGTGGGCCCGTGGACCCCAGAACTGGGATTCAAACCTGCCTCTCATTTCCTGAAGCTCTGTGCTTGCTCTGCTTTTATACCTCAGCTGGAATCACCTTTAATGATACCCTGAAGGTTGGGGCACATCACAAAGCCAAGATGGCCTCTCAAGTGGCATCTCGAAGTTGTCTAGAAGACAACTAGAACTATCTGAGTAAAACTTGAGAAATACAGTCATTCAACCAGAAATTTGTATATGTGGCTAAAAACCTCTGAATGATCAAGAATACTGAATTAACTGAAATTTTGACTTTTTTCCTACCATTTTGATCATATTTTATAGGCTTGAAGTTAAACACCAATGAAAGTAATACAGGATTTATTATTGTAGCTTCTTTGAGAACAGTGAAATGCACCCAGATATTATCTTTTGTGATGCTCTGTAATTAGTCTCCTTGCACCATCTATTCTGTGAGTAATAATAACAGCCAACACAACCACTTACTATCAATCTTATTGAGTAAGTACTATTATCATCCCATTTTACTGATGAGCAAATTTAGGGAAAGAGAACCCAAAGAAATTATAAAAAGCCATAGACCTAGTAAGGGATAGAACCCAGGCATTTGGCTCCAGGTTCTAAATCACTCCACATCCTGGGGGTGAGAGGGCAGCAGTGAAGGTCACAATATTGCACAGTCACACAGTTGTGAGAGATATCCTGGGAACTATGGTGCTAGCTCAGCAAAGCTAAGGTAGTTTGGTGGAAGCAGCTGATGTGGTTGAAGAACTTCATAGACAGAAGGACAAGTTTTCAGATCAGTTGCTGCCTCTGAATAGCATTCATTATGGGAAAGCCACTTAATCACTCCAACCCTCAACTTTCTATGTATAAAAATTGGGTATTTGTCCTAAAGGGTTGTTGAGAGGCAAACATCTGATACCAAGTACATGCTTAATAAATGGTAACCACCACCTGTAAAAAAAAATGGCACTGCTAGACACTCCAGTTGTCTATCAGGGAAATGCATAACTGTTTTGCTCTCTCTCCACCCAGTGTTGACCTCATCCACTGCAGAAGATGCTGTTCTGTCAGAGCTGGTCATACCTGCAGCCCACCTAGTAGACAGGGGCAATTACACCTGTGTGGCTTCTAATTCCATCGGCAAGAGCACTGTTGTCATCTCCCTCCATGTCCAGCCTCTTCTGGTTCTGCCTGCATCCCATTCTCTTTCCATCCCCTCACAGGGTAATGTCTACATCAACCTGCGGGTCATCAAGCAAACCATGCGTGGGGTCCTGCTGGAGTGGTTTACAGTGGGCAAGACCTCTGAAGAGAAGTGGGCCACCCTCTATGTTGCCTCAGATGTATCCCTCAGGAAGGAGGTGGTTTACATCGGGCCTGGAATCAACACATATGTTATGGATGACCTCCTCCCGGGCACAAAATACAAGGCATGTGTCAGCCTCGGGGACCAGCCACTTCACCAGGGCCAGTGTGTGGTCTTTGTGACAGGCCGGGACTACAGTGGGTTGGACGAACGGGAGCGCTTACTGCACATCACGGTGGTCCTGTGCGCTGTACTGCTGGCTGTGCCTGTAGGTGCCTATGTCTGGGCAGCCCAGGTCCCCTGCAACTGCAGGAATTGGGGCTTTCTCTGTTGTCCTCGTCATAGGAAAGCCCCCAGGTGCCCACAGGCAGCCCCACAGCACAGAGATCTCACAGTGGTGTGTGAGGACAGCCTGGGACACAGGGACACTGAAGGACGGTGAGGGAAAAGGAGGACAGGGAGATAATGGCTGAAAAGCCTGGGCTAGATCTAGAGAAGTGTGGACCTCCAGCCCCTAAATTGACCTGTGGCAGCTCAGCTGGGTTTGATCTATTTATTCAACAAGTATTTATTGAGCAACCATTGTGTTCTTGGCACTGAACTTGCTTGACACAGTGAACAGTTCTTATTTTCATGGAGCTGATGCCAGTGGAGCTTTATTCTGTCTATTAATCATTTTTATTATTCACAATGTCTGAAAATTAATAAATATTTCTATTTCCACATATATAGTTCTATAACATTTACATGTTTATATGTAACATTCACATATACTATTTCACATGTGTTATCCTATTAAAGAAAAATAGAATTGGACCCCTTTGTACAGGTGAAGAGATGAGGCCCAGAAAATTACATTACGCATCTAGCAGGTGGTAGAGGCCGTGCTCCAAAGAAGTTCTAATTCTATTGTTTCCTCTAAACGTCTGCTTTGCAGTATTCTTGTTCTCCTATTGTTCAGAAAGTGTTATTCTCCCTCTTAATGGCAACTCCCAATGACATTGTATAAGTTTCAAAAAACTGTCCTTTGAGTGGTAAGAGCCTGGTGGGTGAAGCACATATGATTGTGGGTGTCCATGTCCCCAAGGGCAATCTTTGGTGCTCCAGAGAGCCTGGTGCCATTAGCACTGAGCAATGGCTGCAGCCCAGGGCTCCAGAGTATTGGCTGCAGCCCAGGGCTCAGGCTCCGGAAAATGTTGGAATGCAGGCTCATGAGGAATGGAGGGATCTCCATGAATCCAAGAGACAGTTCACCATCCCTTTGGGAAGCCAAGCTGGTAAAGACCAGAATTTAAACTCACATCTCTCTCCCCACAGCTTCTCCCATTGGTCACAAAAAAACACCCTGGTGGCTGTAAGCATACGCTGACCTCTTTGTAACATCCCCACAAATGTTTCTCCCTCCTTCCCACCTTTTCTTACCAATTCATTCTCATCTTTCTAGGTCTATCTCAAGGATCATGTGCCCCACTAACCTTCCTTGATTCACACCTCCAATAAAAATAAATAGAATCGAACAGGATATGCAATGGTTTCATTGGTTGCAAGCCCTCAGGGGCACAGACCAATCTTCTTGCTGAGGCTACTGGGCTCATCCAACACCTGGACTGTGTTGAAAAATCAGTGTTGATTATAACTAATTTTTAAAAATTAAAAGACTGCTCTCATATTCAGACCAATTGTTCCCTCATTTCTTCAAGGTTTTATTTATTTTCTTCTGAGCATTCATTAGAAGAAAACCATTTTAATGAACATTTTGAGTCATATAAAAAGTGAAGAGAATCTCATTCCTTCCCATCAGTCAGCCATAATAATTTTTAACATTTTTTAATCTTATTTCATCTAGTTCTGACCCTCAACTGTTTTTTAAAAATATTTAAAAGCAAATACAAAGTTCCACAGTTGACTTGTGAGTATTTTTGTTTTATCTATAACAAATTAAAAAGGGTTTTAAAAAATTAATTAATTTCTTTTTAGAGATTGGGGAAAGGAGGGAGAAAGAGGGGAAGAGAAACAGCAATGTATGGTCGCCCCTCACACACTCCTCCACCGGGGACCTGGCCTACAACCCAAGCATGTGCTCTGACTGGGAATCGAGCCAGCGACCCTTTGGTTCACAGACTGGCGCTCGATACACTGAGCTACACCAGCCAGGGCCCAAATTTAAAAAGTTTTTAAAAAATGCTATTATCATACCTAAGAACATATATTTTAAAATTATATGCACATACATAGTTATGTATGTAGAAACAACACATTCATATATATATATATATATATATATATATATATATATATATATAGCAGAATTTGTTCCTGTGAAGATTCCTATGGTCAATTTTATAGAAAAGGGTCAGAGTAAGGTGTGAACTTGAACTTCTATTTGCTTCTGAGAGTCAGGTGGATTTGGTGAACAGGGATAGTGTTCAGCTGCTTCTGTGAACATGACAATTTAAGGAGAGGAAACAGGTCTACAGAGGATCTCTGGGAATCTAACTCTTTAAGACCCTAGACTTCCTTCCCTTTAACAAATCCTAGAGCTAAGATGTACATTACTCAGATTGATTAGACAATATGACAGTAGGAATAAGAGCATAGACATGGCATCCAGTTTCTCGGGCTTAAATGTTGGCTTTGCTTCTTGCTTTGAAATATCAGGTGAGTCACTCCATTGTTCTGTGTCTTAATTTCCTCATCTGTATAAAATGGGGATAATAATAGTACCAACCTCATAGGTTTGTCTGGATGATTACATGAGCTTTTACATGTAAGGCTCTTAGAATACAGCTTGTCACATAAGCCCTCAGTAAACATCACCATGATAAATGTAATCACTGTTTATGCTGTCTGTGTGAGTTTATGTGTGTGTTTTTTAATGTGGCTCAGCATCCAGACTCAGAGATTTGGAACATCAGATCTTATTAGGGTCACATGTGTGTTTACGTGTATAAATATATAAGTAGTGACATAATATTTATGCTAATATCTTCACATGTTCTGTTTAATTAATGTCTAAAGGTGCTATAGTTTTAGACTCAGTTGTGCAATTTTAGAGCACTGTTTTTGATTCAGGAGATATCTGTAAGAAGGGCTACTCATTTTTAGGATAAAGCCATGGTTAGTCTCTGGCCTCTGCTATTGGCAACCTGAGGGAGGAATTTTGTCCTTTTTCTCTTTTCTTTTTCTAGCTCATTACAGTCTGTATCCCTAACACCTAGCAGAAGGCCTAGCACATGTGACATACTCAGAAACTGTGCTATTAAAGGAATGATTGAGTAAATTATATTGGAAGTGGACCTTAACCAAGGAGATACATTTGTGGAATTTTATGTCATGCAAATACCCTCAGCATGATCAGCTTGTTGTTGCAAAATAAGATCACTTACTTTATTGATCACAAATTAAGCCATCACTGCCTCATTCAGCAAACTAGTCCCTTTAAAGCACCACCTCCCTAAAAGTGATTTCTGTTAGTCTTCTAAGGGGTCTTTCATGTGTCCTCTCCACATGCCAGTCTGGCAGCTTTAGTCCTCATGTGGCATCTTCACTACTCCCTTGTCCATCCTTCCATGGCCAGGACCCTGAAGACTATCAAGGAAACCTCACTGCCTGCCAACAGATGCCAACATCCACGTTAGGTGAGCTGACCCTCCTAACTTGCTCCTGCTGATACAAAAAAAAAGGTTCCAATGTCCAGCATTGGATGAAAACATCCTGGAGAGAAGGATGTGTGGAGGGGGTCCTCTCCTCCAGGATGTGGTACTCTATCTAGCACATGGACTGTCAGCTACCCTCAAATGCCCTCTTGTACAACTAAGAGTAACAATCGTCTCCTGAGCTTGCATCAGTACATGCAAAACTGGTGCCAGGTGCTTTATATAGATTAGCTCTTGTCATGTCATCCTCTTCACAATGATTCTTTGTACCATTTATTGCTGAGAAAACTGAGGCCCAAAGTCACACTTAAGTGGCAGAACCAGGATTCAGACCCAGGGCTGTTAGACTGTAAAGGACTATATTGTTTCATATAATTAGAAAGTCTGAGCTCATTACAGGGAGAAACACACACTATTTTGCAGATTTCTTTTCGTCATATCCATTGATTGCTCGTGAGTCTAATGCTGTATTCTTACCACCCAGAATAGGTAGGCCTGCCCAGTCTATCACCTCTGCCTTTCAGCTTCTTACCTTGAGGCCTAACATTGTCCCAACTTGTAGTCTAGGCCCTTCCAAGTATAACTAAGCAAGCAGCTCCTTGGCCCCCACCACTCCTTACAGCAGTGAAATCAGCCCAGCCTCACTCACACAGAGTGTGCATTGGGAGACTCCTCCAATGCACAACAGGTGTGTGGGTACCTCATGTTTAGTGGTACTCTCCTCCTCTCTCTCAGTGTGGCTCATGCTGGCAACTAGGCACTTTCCCATACTTTTCAAAGTAAGAGTTGCCCACATGCCCTGTTTCCTGGCTCTGCCTTGGTTCAAGTTCCCGGGCTTGTCCCCTCCCAGGGCCTGGATGCTGGCTTGAGCTCCCAGTCTAGAGGCCTTCAAGACCATTGTCACAGAGCCAACACTGCTTCTTAGGTTTTAATGCCTACGTCAAGTCTCCCAATTCCTGCCCTTGCTGGGCTGCATGGGGTTAATTAGTTCTAGCTCCAGATTCCATTCTTCCCCAAGCAACCCTGCCAAGAAGAAAACCCAGTCCAGGCCCACAACACACCATGTGTAGGCAGACAAGCCCTGAAAATGTGCTGCTGTTAAAGAGTCTGCATGGCAATTTGGACAAAATTCTGCAGCCATGCACAGAATCAGATCTGGGGGTCAAAGGATGGATCTACCCACCATAGGAGCCAGGAGGCCTGATGTGCTTGGATATGTGTCAGGAAGACTAGTTTCTAGGAGTCAACTAACACACAGGGCAGCAGAAGTTGAGAGGTCAGCTTGGCTGTTGGTTAACAGATTTTATTTATCATTTTAAAGAGAGGTTGACTGCATGCACATTGGAAGGATACTATATTTCCTGAGGGGGGCAAACCTGATCCAGCACAACCCTCTCCTGAATCATGGACTGCAATGGACCTGTTTGTTCAGTCTGGGCTCCTGACTTCTTACAGCCTACCTCTTAATACTGTCTGGGTCAGGCCTGGGTCATATTGTACAAAACAGGAGTGACCCTAAGGAGCAGAGAGGGGGAAAATGGGGTGGGGAAGAGAGTGGTTCGGGGCTATGCTCTAGAAGTAAGCCTTGTTAGCTACACTCTTCTTCTCAAATTTTTGCCTGAGTTCAGAAACCAGGGCTGACTGGATAGGGCTTTCCAAGGCTTTGGGTTTGGGTGACTGTTGAGGTTGTAGAGGGGTGAGTGAGCCAGAGACCGTAGGCACAGTCCAGGGGGCTGCACCCATGCTGGGCACCATTCTAGGTGGAGGAGGGGGAGCTGGGGCTCTGGGGACTGAGGGACTTGCTAGGCTGTTGTTGTTGCAGTTCTCATTGGGAGGATCCTCTCTGAGCACAAACTTAGCAGCAGCTTTGGTCCTGTTGAACTTGAGCCACTCCATATGGACAGCGTGGGGTGCAGGGCTGGGCCGCTTGCGGAGCACGCGCCTCACTGGCAGGATTTTGTTGGACTTCTTGTTGCGCCAGAAGGTGGCAGTGGAGATGAAGACAGTTGTAGCCACTATAATGGCCATGATGCCAGCCAGCACACCCACAGCCTTCATGGGACTGTCTTTCATCTGCACCAGGAAGGTGTCCATGGGGCTTCGGGACAGCATCTGGAAGAGAGAGCCACCGCTGCATTCAGCTGCCCTGTCTGGTCCCTGGAGGACAGAGCAGGGGTCATGAGCTCCCTTAAGCCTGATAGTTTTTAAACTTTCTGGCATCAGGTATTCCTTAAGAATCTGATGAGCACTATGGGCTTCATCCCAGGGAAATGCACACAGAGAAAAAACACAGGGCACACAACCTACCACAAAAAATGCACACAGAGAAAGCATGATGCAAGCACCATCTTTTGGATTAAGATCTCCTCATTAGCTGGACTCTATTCTCCAGAATAGAGTAGCATTTACCTTTGATTACGAGGTGCAATTCTTCTCAAATCTAACAGGAACCCCTAAAATAATGACTTTCTTCCTGACGTTGGGCTAAGAACTATGTACAAGGGGGGACTTAAAAGCCAGAATTTATTTATTAAAAATTGTATATTTATTGTTACATGTTTAAACTTCAGTCACCATCAGAGTACTCTCCATTTGATTCAATACACCTATCAAGACATTGTTTCCACTGCTCAAAACAGTGTTTGAATTCATTGATTTTGATGCCTTTTAGTGCTTCTGACATTTACTGTTTCACCTCTTCCACATTGGCAAAACATTTCTTTTTGAGGACTTTTTTCATCCAGAGAAACAACAAAAAATAGTCACTCGGGGTGAGATTGGGTGAATGGGTAGGGTGGGGCATGGGGTCATACCACTGCTGGTCAAAAACTGCTGAACACTCAGTGCGGTGCAGTCAGGTGTGTTCATACATCTCCTATCATGAAATGGGCAAAGACATTGAAAGAGTCTCCAAAAAAAATTGCTGAAGCTGAACAAGCCTCTCACAACAACACCAGTTGGTACATTGATACAGATGGCTTCCTAGAGTACTCACTCAGCAGGGAAGCCTGTACTACAA